TTTGCAATACTGGATGCCCGTCCACGGCGGCCGGACCATCTTGCATCACTATCTACGGAAGCCTAGGCATTCGATGGCAGGATATGTTGGCTGCTGCGTAAGTGCCTTGACCGGCATGTATTCCAACCAAAGAGTCGCCTACCCATGCGAAGGTCAGAGGCCATAGAGTCAAAGCCGCATAGCCTGGCGGCGAGAGGAGCCTCGACCATGGTATCCAAGGCATCCCAGTCCGGAGATTCGCAGTATTATATATAAATAGGCTTGACAAGGCGACCATGGCGATTGGCTACCTATATTGTTATGGTAAGTGTACCGTTGTGTCTACCTGGATCACGCATCTTAGAGCTGCAGGGCTGGCGGAACCCCCGTGTATCCGTTATTAATCGCTCCTCGACCGAGCCTTTTGCCCTGCAAACCCAAGTGACAATTGGTTGATACGGAGAAAGCCAGTAGTGAGAATGTTGGATGCTGCAAGTTTTTAAGCGAGGGCCGTGCCTTGAACCAGGAGTTTGGGGTCTTGTCTCGAAACTAGCGATTCTGTGCAGCTTCCGCCCAGGCACGGGCTTGGCCTCGTGGTGGAATTCTCTGGAAGACGATGATCTGGGATTGACAGTTCAGTGGCATCTTATCACTATGGGGCCGAGATGCAAGTGAGATATCGGTTCATTGTCCCTTTGACATCTAGTGATTACATCATATTGACCGGTGTCTCCATAGCTCTAAGCTTTCTCTATACGGAGAACGATGGCCTTTTTCCTCATCTCCGGCCACAGGACCCTGTCAAGATGTGCCTGTAGGAAGCGATTTCATCGGCCAGGCAAGGCGACCGAAGTAAAAGCAAGTGGAGGCCCCATCTGCGACTAGCCGTCCACTAAAAGGGACAGCATGCGAAACCCCTGGAAAAGAATAATGTGTCAGGGCCAACTGCACTACAACACCCCGTCCGCAGCAATTCCTCCAAAACCAGAGGCAAAAAAGAAAGAGGACACGAAGAGGGGAGGAAAAAAGCAAACATCTCTAACACCCACAAAGGCAAAGTTACCAGTAAACGGGGGCTGCCCTGTCAGGGACAGAGGTCCAACGCATTAACGAGCCAGTCGAAATTCCTTCGGCCAGCTGAGAATCTAGAGCCGGTGCTAACGCCTTTCATGCGAGCTTCCGGGCAGGCGGCGTAAGGCCAGGCCCAGGGGCTATATTTATCATTCCCATCCACACCTTCTTTCTCTCGCTCCCTTTTCCTCTTTCCATTTTTTCGCCCTTTCACCAAGGCGACAGCTGTCCTGTCTGTCAGGGCCGTTCATTCGTTTAGTTATTAATTATTATCATGGGCAGGCCAGCCCATGGAATTTTATTCTCTCTTTTCGTCCTGCTCCAAGGCGCCATTCTTTGATCGACACGCTCGCTTACGACCCTATGACATCCCAACTTCAACATCTACTACGCCTTAATCCAATAATTAATCCGCTAGTTCCGCATTTGATACTCCATACTGAGTATAGGAGTGAAGGTGAAAGACATCTAAGGGTGGGATGGCGCTTCGTCCACGGCTGCAGCTTTTCCCGCCAACAACTACCCTCGTAGCCGTCATATCTTGGGCTTTGATACTTCACCTGCTGGTGGCTGTAATAATACATCCCGCCAGCGCTTACAGTATCAGGGCTTTGCCAGACCCAAACATCGCGCCCGGTGACACTCTTCTAGACAACCGTCAGTTTGGTTCTGGTCTGGCTGTAGAACTACGGCCGATCAATGTCGATGCAGGCCTATCAGCGCCAACAGACACTGCTAATAATAATATCGTCATCCAACACCAGCGACAAAAAAGGGACTCTCCAGACCGTGAGACAGCCACTCCAACTACGAAGCCTTCAGTCATCTTAAAGCCATCGCACTCTGGCGATCCGGTAAAAACCAGTATTATCGTTGCATCCCCCACAGTTTCCGTCGGCCCTGCCCCTACCGCCTTCGATACCAATCGCAGCGAGAACACAACCACAAGCTGCATGGAATTTTTTGACAGCTTTCTGTCAAATGCCACCTTCAATGACTGCATCCCCATATCCGTCCTTCTCACCACATCCAGCTCCTTTTTCCAGAAAACGAAGACCTTTTCCTCCATCACCCAGACTCTTGGTTCGGCATGTGCTGTAGATGCAGATAAATGCACCTCCCTACTGTCTTATTACGCCGAGGAAATTGGGAAGAAAGGTGTCTGCAATGAGGACCTGACCAAAGGAAACCCGTTGGTCATTGCTGCCAAGACTGGCTTCCTGGCATACAGAGCTATGCGTGATGCAACATGCCTGACGAACCCAGAGACGAACAACTACTGCTTTGCAGAAGCAATTACTGACCCCAGTATGACGGCGAACGTGTACATCTACCACCTCACCTTGGGCTATTCCCTTTCTGCCGGACGACCAAAGTGCGGGAAATGTCTACCTCCTACTATGAAAGTACTTCGTCAGGCGGCCGGAAACAAGCAGCAGCCTGTTTCAGAAGTTTATGTCACGGCTGCAACTCAAGTCAACGTTGCTTGTGGGCCGAACTTCGTGACTGCTTCACTTCCTTCAGGCGCATGCTCGAGCTTCCGTCCACTGCCATTTTCTCTTATGTTCTTACTCATCGGCATCCTAGGCTTCTTCCTTTCTTGACTACCATATAACTATTCATTTAATACCCTTTCTTTTTTACACATTTTCTTTATTTTCATGCGAGAATACCCAGCCATTGTGAGCCACCATTTACATTCATGCCTCTCTACATTCTCGAGCTCTTTCCTTTTCCCAACTATCTTTGAATTTTCGTTACCGTGTTACTTGCCTGGCGAATATGGAGTTTTTCTTGATTGCACAAGCGTACGAAAAAAGTGTATTTCACTATCTCATTAAGTAGTGGAGTATAGGACTGGACAAGGTCGGGTGGGATATTTGCATTACTTACTGCATTTTATAATAATATATTTTCTTTGCCTTCAAACGTAAATGCAAGTCAACCCCCATGGACGTATAGTGGTCTATCCATTGGATTCCGACTTTGCGAAAATTCTACCTTATTCCCAAAACAGCCGGCCGTGCTTCGATATATTTTCGAAGAGGTTATCATTAGATACCCGCCCGTCCTACCAAATACCAAATGCAATGCAACTAACGCACGACAGATCTTGGAAGACAAAACTGCATGCTGAAACTTGTGTATATTAGGAATGTTGGACGTAGTGGGGCAAAATGCCTTTGAGAGAGAAAAAAAAAAAAAGATCAGGAAGCCCTGTCAATTCATAGGAAGGATACCATACTCAGGCCTCTCGAGTTCCTGTCTAGTGAATGGAGCTTCTATACCTAGTTCCTGGGTGTCGATACTAATGTCAAATTCACGAGCCAGAAGTAACTAAATAAATGCTGGATGAACCACGTTTAAAAACTTCGGACACTACTTTTCAACTGTACTACGGCTGGACTAAAAGCAAATCACAACTACCCATACTGACAAGAAATCCCATAGAACGACAAGGGCAAAGGTGAAGTCCTATGTATGCTAATCTTATAGTCAACTGGCAGACAGCACCTTTATCCGCCTCGGAGTCAGTTTTGTATACAAGGCTATAACTAGCTGGTTTCAGGACGTTAATTGACAAAGTTCTGCTTTCTTCCATTGCAGCCCCAGTCATCTATAGGTGCATACGCATACACCAACCGTGATTGCGATATCTTGCAAGACACACGAGCGACTTGTGACCGCAAATTTGGCTGTTTTTCTGGCATGTCGTCATAGACCAGTCTCCTCACTGAGAGTTAGTGAAGCTCAATGCCTTAACTAGCTTCTTAAACCGTCCGATGAGAGTTGAAATCGCTTATCCCGTAGATAGACCATGGAGAGGGCATCATCAGCACTTAACTGACACTTGGAAACACAGTTTAGTCTAGAGCAATTACTAGGCTTGTGGGAGTATCATTACTCCATAACTAGCCCATGGTCAACAATTAATGACTAACTAGTAATTTATCACGAAAATAATCCAAGGAATAATCCAAGGAATGAACTAGTAAGTGCTATAAGTAGCTAACCTCCGTAGTTAAACCGTAAAAAGAAGAGTATCCGTAGGAGCCATGTACCTAAATTGCCGAGATAGCTACCTCACTAACTAGTGAGGTAGTAATAGAATCTAAGTTCCGAATTCGCTGCTTAACTGCTTGCCAGTTGGCGATGCAGGGATTATTAACTAGTTAACTAAGTTAGTTAGTTGTTATTTAAGCCGCAACCCGGACCGTGTTGAGTTTAGTTAAATCCAACGTCTCATGATTAGCCGCCGTGCACTTTACTGCTTCACGAGCTAACACCAACGTCTTTATGGATCCAGCCGGCGATCTAGGTGCTGCTGATGATAGGCGAGCACTTCTAGCCTACGGCCAAAGCCAGTACGCGCAACGGAACTATGCCAATGCTTTGACGGCTTTCACGACGGTAACTTACTCCACTGCTTGAAGACCATAATTGAGTCGTTTCTAATGCATCAAGTAATGTTAAATCCAGGCCTTGGACCAAGCAGAAGATGATAGAATGAGGATATTGGACAACAGGTCCGCTACATACTGCAAACTGGGCGATTTGGACCTAGCCCTCAAGGACGGGAGACGAATGCTCAAACTCGACAAGTCAGACGCACGAGTAGGAAATCCCATATACATACCCCGCTAGCAATAGACAAATTCTGCACACAAACAATATTAACGTTTCACATAGGGCTATCTGCGTACTGCTCAGGTTCTACAGCTGAAGAAGAGATTCGAAGATGCCCTAAGACTGTATGAGCACGCTCTTAAATCAGTGGACTCAGAGGATGGTAATCGATCTGTGGGTGAACCTTCTTCCTTCTATTCATATTCGAATACAAGCTAACTCAGAATTGTTAGAAAATCGAAGCTCTCAAAGCGAAACTTGATCGAGTTATAAACCCACCACGGCGGGATCCATTTTCTTTGTTCCCTCCCGAAATTATTGCCATGGTTCTTCAGCATTTCAATGTACCAGCGCTGCTGTAGGTGACAGCCGCTACATCCCGTCTTTACTTAGAATCCCGCTGATGAACGTGTCCTTGATGGATAAACAGAAAACTGCTTCGGGTCTCTAAAAGGTGGAGTCGGCTAACCGTGTCTCTGGGCCAAGCCTTTTCACGGGTGGATTTCACTCTCGCGAGACAACACACTGTTCCCTTCCAGGCAGTTCGTACATATTGCGTGCGGCATGCTAAGTCCATAGAATCTGCCGTTGTTGGCTGCGTTACTCCGCAAAACGCCTCGAAAACTTTACGGCTCCTTTCGAGATGTCCAAGACTCGTCGAACTTAGTTTGAATGTTCAATTAGCAGCACCGGAGGACATCAAAATACTCCATAATTTTACTGGCCTGAAACAGTTGGTTATCTGGCACCGTGAGCTGACTTCTGCAGAATTCAACTCTCTGCTCGCAGCATGCCATACTCTCGAATACGCCAAGCTTTTACTGGGTGAAGCAAAGAAACGACAGGATTGGAAGAGTTGCTCTCCTGCACCACGGATGCGAAGTTTATGCCTCACATTTTATGAGATGACCGTCACGAACCCATTCTTCTTTGATGTAAGATGCACTATATCCGCAGTCATGGCATGTAAGCATTATCGCTAATCTTGGATATATATAGAGCTCATTAAAGGATACCATGCCCGTGCTTGAAAATCTAGAGGTTTCTGGCGTTGATGTAGAGATGGAGCTCCATGGCGTGGACACAGACCTATCTGATCACCCGTCTCTATGTGCACTTTCCCTCAGCAAGTTCACCTTGGATGCTGCACTGAAGGCATTGCCAACGGGCTTGGAAGAATTAACTTTGAACTCTGTTCTTGTCGATCCAGTTATTGGGACCATACCCGTATACAGCTTCCTAAATGGCCTCTCAAAATTGAGGGAAATAAACTTTTACAGCCTCTCATACGACGTAGGCTTCATGCTTGACGGATATTTTTCTGCCCTGGAATCAAGTCTGACTCCAGATTTAACGGTTCTTAATATTGCATACTGCAATATCGCTGCAGAGGAGCTGGTCCCTTTCATGAAGAAAGGGCACTTACGCTCAGTAACGGAACTGGGTATTCCTGGCATTATGGGTATGAATGATAGCATCACAGAAGTCATTATTGATACGATGCCCAACCTAAAGATGCTAAATTTGTCGCTTACTGAAGTTACGGGGTACTCGGTTAAGTTACTCGCGGATGCTCCAAATATGAACCTAGAAAGGATCTTGTTGTTGAACCCCGCGACTCCAATTAGCAGAGATGCAATTGAGTATGGACGCAGTAAAGGGATTACTTTTCGATAAGTTAAGCGGTATATGGTTTCTTATGCAATGAAAACTTATATTTATGATAGTAGATGATCGGTGACTTTTAATTCTTCAATCTAAATACTTGATAATAGTCGTAAGGCTAAGGGGACAGTTTAAGAAATGGGAACAATATCCCTAATCAACATGCCTCCCATTCTAGTTCATGATTCGTGTGTAAAATGATTCTGGGACAAATAAAAGAGGGAGAAAATAAAGGATAGTGAATAAATGAAAGAAATGGGTATGGTAGTAACCAATTTACTGGTTGGTTGGGACACCTCGCTCCTGGCACCATTTGAGAACTTCCTTATCCAGCTTATCCCTCTGGTCTCGTACAAGCTCCATCATCTCTTCGACCTGGTCCTTGTACTTGTCAAATGAACCAAGGTTCTCGCCCTTTGTGCCAGCTCCGTTCTTCAACATCGGAACGACAGCATTGTCATAAGTGGCAATCATGAGATCCATGACAGCAAAGAGCTGGTTGGGAAGCCACTATATACCAGGTTAATAGCCGTATCAACAAGGCCAGGAAGGGAGGAGACGAAACTTACAGTGACGATGGGACTTCCTCCGGTAGCAGTTGGGTGGGAGGTGCGCTTGATGATGTATTCTCTGGCGAAGAGCCAGTGTCTCCATCGGAAGCTGCGAACGTGGTCGAGTGTCTTTAGGTAGAGGAAGACGGTCTCTGGGTCCTGCATGGAGTACTTGGGGATGTCAAGCTCGGCGGACTTAGCAGCGACATGGGCAAGGAACTTGCGGTGGGGCAATGGGCGGTAAGCACGGAACTCATGCAAGATCTTAGTGAGTGGAGTATCAGGCATGGGGATCTGGCAGAGATGATCCAGTAGCGGGATCTATAAGTTGTAGAGGAAGAACAAGGTTAGCTAGGACCATCTTCGTATATTGCGGCTGGTATGAAGATAGGCTTACGATGCTGTCGTTGGCTCCAGACTCTCCACGGAAGTTCAAGGGCTGGTTATCTTCAATGCCCTCATAGACGACGCCGTTGGGGAACATGGTCTGGGAGGTGATGCCGAAGATGAACACACGGAAAGAGATGTAGTCACCTGGCTTGGAGTTCTTCCACATGTCTAGGTATCAATGTGAGCTGAGTTACTATGCATTATAAAGGGGTTGCAGTGCATTGGCTGACATACCTTCCATGCATTCCTCGATCTTGGTCATGCCAGCAAGGATGGTACGGTAGGCATCATTGACGGTAGCACGGTCAGCACCTTGCTCAACGGCATTGAGGATGCGGACGACACCGTCGACAAGGGAACCAGTCTCCTTGACCATGTACACGTGGGTAAGAATAAAGCCAGCTTCAGAGCTGGCAGGGTCAAGACCGTGCTCGAAGCCACGGATGAGCCTCAAGTTAGAGTAGTCATATCCCTTGGAGGTGTCGGCAAGGGCATAGTTGAACAAAGCATATGAGGCAGCATAAGAAAGGAATGGAGGAAGATCCAAGCTGTCAACAACGTTAGCATGACATCATCGTACATACGGCAGTGGTGACTGAAGGGAGCATGGAGGGACAGCATACATCTGGGCACTCCTATACATTGGGCCAGCAATAGAGTGAGGGAGTCTATCGCGTCCAAGACCATAGCTCTGGTCAGGACTAGTGTTCCAGGACTTCCAGCAGGGCTCCAAGAGGTAAGAGGAGGCAAGGAAGGAGTAGTCTCTGAAGATGGCTGTAAGCATATATAGATCTGGCTTGCCATCAGGGGTGACAATCTTGTCAATCTCATCCGTGAGATCGGGGAGCTCTGCATGGACGACGTCGCCCAGTTCATAGGTAGCAAGCAGTCCGGGGGTGCCATTGGCCCTGCGGACAGGGAGACGATCCATGATGGAGGATAGGGGAGCGAATACCTCCGGCAGGGTGGTTGCTGGCAGGATGGTAGGCATGAATCCTGACGCAGCGGTGATGGTGAAGGGGTCAACGGACTTGGGGATGGACTGGGGATCGTCAAACACATGAGGGAAGGCCTTCATGGTTGAAGTAGGAACATCCTCGATACGAGTCATGGTGATAGATGATGGAGGACTGGGGAAGAACAAGGGCCTTGAAGATATGGTAGGGGGGGTGTGGTGTTACAGGTACGTCTTCCTCTGTGGGAATGGGTGGCGAGCCTATGTATATATGTATAGGGGAAGGAGTAGATATAAATGAAAGGGGCAAAGGGGCTTTTCAGGCGTGGGAAATGGTATGGTGCAGCAACGAAGTACAGATTCACCTATTTGGCCTGGGTAAAATGGTAAAAAGGAAGGGAAAAATGAGAACCTGGAGGGGAAAAATGGCAGCATTATATATCCTTCTTGAGGCCGGAATTGATACCGGCCTCACGCACTAATTACGAAAGCTGGACAGGAAGAGAGGGACCTGACAAGCCGTTGCTTGATCAGATGACGAAATAGGGCGGCTTTCTTGGGTATAACCCAGCAAATGCATCGTAGATGACGCTGGCATCGTCCCTGGGGCTTATATAGAGTCCTGCCATGTTGATATCGTCGATATCAAATAGGCAGAGGAGGCTCATGGCTTGATTAGGTAAACTGTCGTTGGCGGCGCTGGCGAACCCAAACCCGCCTGGCCCGGTCTGGCCAGCTGACAGATTAGATTATCAGATCGTCTATAAACGCGGTATCAAAGTACATTTCAGCCTCCAGGAGTCCCGGTGAGGTCCCATACGCCCCTCTAAACCCTTCTCCCTCAAGGCTCAGGGATGGACTTACGAGCAGTTCGATTGAAGATGGCACCCTGATGTCGTTTCTCATGTTCCTTTTGTCTCCAGCCGGCGCAGAATAGTACATGCAAGCTACAAGGTCGTCCAAAGTCAAACCTCGATCGCCACGCCTACAATTGGCCAGGAGCACTGGAACCAGCCAAGAGGCCGGAATTGAACCGGCCTCCGTTAATATCCGGCCAGTGGGGAGCATTATTCATCGAGTGCCTGGAGCCGATTGCGATCACCTGGGCTGTGAGTGGCTGCGGAGGAACGGAGGACAAAAAGCAAAGGAAAAAGGCCCGAAATCAGGAGCAAAAGGTGGACAGGGATATATAGGGTGCAGCTGCACACGTGTTTTTACCCAACAATTAAATTGATATAACTAATACAACGTCAAGAGGACCCTCGAAGAGATGAATACCTTGCGGGAAAAAAGAAAAAGGAAAGAAGAAAAGAAAGAAAAGGCGGGGGAGGGGGTGGAAGGTGGCAGGAGGAATATTATTACAGCAAAGTCATGGTAGTGAAGTGATGGCGCTGGCCAAGGCGAGAGAGAAGAGAAATAGCACCCAGAAGGGGCGCGGCGCTAGACTCTTACTTTTGGAGGATGGAACCTGCAAGCCGCTGTTGATATGCACATCATAGCATACAGTCTCAGTTGAAAGGCCACCAGCCCTCTGGCACCGCCGGGAAAAGGCAGTGTCCGTCCCGTTCTCGCTTGCGCTGGTGTTGTGGTATATCGAAAGATGCTTGACTCGGAGATACACGTCGGTCGTGCTTGGAGATCCGCTCCACATCCCCCCGTCTGCCCAGAGGTTCAGGTAAACGCTTCCTTCGTCCTTTGGAATGCGGAGGTTGTTGGTGTGCACTACCTTCGAATTTTGGTAGAACCGCAGCTCTTCTTTTGTCCAGTCGAACCGATGGAGTTGGAAATGCTCGGCTGGCCGGTGTCCCTTTAACGCAATGATCTCAGTTGCATTATCAATCAGCCATCCTCGATCATCCAAGGCCGGATGCGTGGTGTAATGAACCAACATGGAGTCGGGCTTGAACTCTCTCGTCAGGATTTCGATATCGATTTCGTTTTTGTCATCCTGTTCTCCCGGTTAGCACTCTTTCTCATAAAGGAGAAACCAATTTGGATAAGGAGTACAGACGCGATACCAGAAAAACCCAGCCACGCTGCCTCCCGAAGCATTTTCCATTATCATATCTGCCCGAAAGCTTCCATGCAAGATATTGGAAGCACGACTGGCGATTGACGCTACGCTAACGTTATGTGCAGACATTACAGACTCCTTTGAATACCCTTCTTGCCGCAGCGTCAACTGACCATTTTCAAGGTATACATTCTCAGGGCGGTTGAGTATAGGCAAGGGGGTCGCCCAGTTCATCACCGGCAACCCCCATTTCTGAATTGCCCAGTCACGGGTGAACTTGGGGTTCGTACTTAGTGGCTTTGTTGGCGAGTAGGTGCTGAAATTGTTGTGGATGAGGTGAGTGTAGTAGTCCTGAGTATCGTTGATGACGAAGCCGCATTCACAACTTGCCCCGGCGGTGGTTGGGTATATCACGAGGAATGCCAAAATGGCGTGCCTGATGAGAGATGAGAGATCAACTCGAGCTGTCCTCACCGGCATATCTAGTGGAGCTGGAAGTTGGAGTTAGATGGTGATGGGTGGCAAGCAATGGTCGCGCTTCGTCTGTGCGATCCGACCGCATCAGGCACATCAGCCTGTTTCTCAGAGAGGTAGAATCGCTCGGGTGCATGAAAATAAATGCAATGTAGTTCTTTTCATAATAAGCTGAAGCGAAAATGTAAACAGTCCCCTTAAGTAAGTACAGCAAAGCGAAGCAAAGAAGAGAAGCGGAGGAGAAGTTGATATTTCTAAACACCACAACTTTCCGCGATAGGAAAGACCGAAATCTCCATATATTCTAGCCCGCGAAAGCAAGGCGGAAGGAAGTAGAGACAGCCGCCTCAATCAAAACACTGCATCCTTGGACACTATTGACAGCTCCTACGAAGGGGGGGGGGGGGGGGGGGGGGGTTCCGTCAGTGTCCTGGACATAACCAAACATTACGTAGCATTCGAGAATACTACTAGAAATGCTGAGCATCGCCGTTGTCCCTCGTTAGCCTTGAGTATGTATCCTCATCAAAGCCCCCAGCGCCTGGCTAGCTGCTTTTTAAAGGCTTCTAAATCAACAAGAACTCCTCCAATACGAAACTTGCCAGTCACATATGGATCGGGGTTGCGTGGGATAAGCATCCATACATGTGATATACTGCAAACCCCTTCAGGTATCACACCATCTTTTGCGAGCTGTTCACATTTTTCGCAAAACAACATCATCCCAAGACAATAAGTGCAGACGTAGACGTTGTCGCTCCCTCGAAGTAGTTTCTGGCATCCGTTACACTCCCCAATGAAAGGCTCGTCACCAGTGGTTCCATCTTGATTTCCCCTCCTCCACATCCCCGTTTTAGTCCTCGTCGAATCATTGAGCATTGCTACTAGGCAATAGAAAATGGGAATGACGAGCCCATCCTCACCGGTAGCCAAGAGCACCTCCCTAAGGGTTTTGTAAGCGAATGTGTCATTTTCCAGGTCATCACTTGACAATAATTCAAGCGCGTATTTAATCGATGGCCGAAAACAGGCGTCTGCATCCTCCTTTCTATCTTGTAGTCGATACCACAGCCCAAGGCGAATGGCAGCCTTATTTGCAGCGTATGATATGGAGGAGCCGCTGCCGTGAGGGTTTGACTCCTGTTTCGCTAAGCGCTCTAAATTCTGGACGTCGTTTTCTGCATCTGAAGAATCAATGCCTGCTTGCCATAGCTTTCGGCTGTAATGCGTAGCTAGCCGGTCTGTTGCCTCATCTTTGACGAAGAATATTTCACTTCCCAGTCTTGGTTCTGCAAAGGATTCAATCAGCTTTTTCCATATCCTTAGAGCTTTGGCTTGTTCCCTTGTATACTTATAATAGAAATCCGCAAGACAAAGCTCTAGCTTGCTTGATTCAACCGAGATTAACAGCCTTTTTGTCACACGAATCGCCTCTCGGCAAGCATCGATGAAAAAATCCTCTTGACCGGTTTTTCTTGCAGCTCGCGCAACAAGTTTGAAGTAATCCGAGTTAACATCAAAGTTGATATATACGAAGACGGCCAAGTAAGAACAATCTCCAGTTGGGGTCATTTTCCCTTGCATAGCTTTCAGTGTCAAGATTATATCTTCGCAGAGGTTCTGAGCATCCATCAAAAGTAGGAGTTGGCAGATACATTTGTTGCATTGAGGGGAAACGTTGTGACCTTTCTGGTAATATTTCAACGCATTTGCCGTATTCCCCAGTTTGGCATAACATTCAGCCGTCCCCTCATGCATTGCATGAAGATACTTATTCACTCCAGCTGGTCCCCCCGTACCCTGTTGAACTTCGGATATTAATGATGCGTGCAGTTCAATAACTTTCTCATACTGCCCCAGCTGGAAATATGTCGCTGCCATACCACCACGAGAGTGCCACAGAGTACTGTCAAGCTCTAATGATTTGGTAAAGTACGTCAAGGCCTCTTCAAGGAAACCCTTGTCACGTAAAGTCACAGCAACTCTCCGATACCAATTGGCTGTTTTCTCCATGCCCAACCGCTCGGCTAGGGAGATAAGTGTCGCGGCGGAGTCGCAACCTTCATGCTGCAGATCTGGAGTCCCATCCCTAAGGCAAAAATAGTTGAAAACCATGTCGCAGCAAGTTTCGGAATGCCCTAGTAAATCACCGAGCCAATATCTTTCAACAACTTGGATTAATGACTTAAATGTGTCTGCAGGTGAGCTAGAAGTTGACCTGACAAATTCTTGACTATCAGGGGGTAGTTCAGCTAAAATTTGCTCATCATCCAGCCATTTTCTGACTTGTTCCAGGTTTTCCGTAGTCAAGAATGGTGGCCCGACAGTAAATATCCAATACTTCATGGTACTTTGTTGGGTAAACATTCGACACAATAAAGTGACTATCTGTGTCTTTTGCGCATTTATCATTTTTGAGGGATCAAGCTTAAGAAGGTGTTTTGGCCAGTTCTTAGCTGCATAATATCGTAAGCTTGCGGCTGTGTCCTCTGATTTTAACATGGATTCTTCATCACACGAAATATCAAGCGCAGACTTTTTAGATGCACTAAGCATATGGAGGTGTTTTGGCCAGTGCCCATCCGCATCATATCTTAAGCTTGTGGCTTTATCCTCTCCATCTTCGTTGCACAAAAGCTCCAGGCATAACTTCGTGACATTAAATTGAGCGTCATTGAAGTCGACTCCGATACTGGGATATCCGTCACCTGCGGAAACTTTGCCCTTGGTACCCCGAAAGAAGTCTCCTAGGGATGAATGGCAAAATGTAACCGTCGTTGTGTCTGGGTTCGAGTCAAACTGAGTTGTATCATCTGCATCTTCAAAAGTCTCCACTTGGGTACCATCACTATATTCTTCGTCATCCGAGCCAGCAACGTTTGGATTCATAAGATGTAGTTCGGCAGTAGTTAATCCATCTTCGCGATTAAGGTTGAAGAAAGAAGCAAACTGTCTCCGAAGGGGTCCTTCCAGATATATCATACCTTCCCCGTCAGGGGATTTGAGCTTTAAAATCGTATCAAGCTCTCTCAGTGTCAGGGGCCACTGGGCACATGTTACCCAGGCTAGCAGCTCGTTTAGGGTATCTGGATAATCGTCAACAAGAGTCAAAGAGAAACTTGTGAGGACATGGGAGAGCATTTCATCCAAGCCACGAGGCGCAGAATTAAGGGCTTCGCGGATAGCTGACTCGCTTCTTTTCTTCAATAGCTCTTTCAACATTAATTGAACCCAAATAAACATGCCTTGAGCCCGATCAGAAAGCTTCTTGACAATTTCGGATCGTAGTCTTCCCGAGACTCTCTTAAGAATGTTCGACTTTCGGATATTATTCTCGATGAAACAAATAATGTCGGTTGAGTTTTTATTTTCTGTGATATAGATCGTAGGAACATCATCCACCTCAAGAGATTCAGAGATAAGTTCGCCGAGTTGGGGCCTGCCAACTATGGCTAGCTGAATTCGAGGATTGTCGGTCACTAAAAAAAGACGTTAACGAAAGCCTCCCTCAAAAATCTCCAAAAAAAAAAAAAAAAAAGTCTCAGTGACTTTGAGGTTGAAATGTGTACCTTCGTTTATATCCTTAAGAAGATCAAAAAACGGCTGTATTTCGGCATCAAATGCTTCATCAACCCCATCAAGAAGCAAATAAACACTGCTGGCCACGTTTGACTTTTTGACGAAGAAATTGACGAAGAGCGTTCGCCAGGCACTTTCGATGGTGCTAACATCTTCGGCCGTGAGGGCGTTTGTCACAATATACTTCGCATAAACTGGGTCATTTTGACTGATTTGATATGCTATGTCACGAAGTGCTTGGTGAATAGACATTGTTTTCGGGTTATCATCCTTGAAGAAGAAATATCCCACTGAGACACGAGAAGAATGCTGCACAAGCTGTGGATACTCGCCATTGAGATATGTTATCATGTTGGATGCGAGGTAAGACTTTCCAGCCCCAGGGTTACCAGAGACTCGCAAAATAGGTATCTTCTTCTCTACCCAGGATATAAAAAATGGTTCATTTCTGATCCAATCCCCAGTGTCCTTAACTCGAGACTTGTTGATCTTATCGTAGAAATCATAAGCAGTGACCGAAGGCTCGAGTGCTCCTTTGATAAACTCTTGATGACTTCTGTCTTGTTCAGCTTTTGAGATCTCGTTTGACGATGCCGTTTCTTGTATGAGGTTATTCAGTTTTTGGTTCATGTCCGTGACTTCGAGACTCATTTGAGAAACCGAGTGGCTTGTTTTGTCTACTGTCAAGCTGGTGGCAGCGAGATTGATTGCGACGTCATCAACGGCACGGCTCGTCTTCTTGGTCTCTGTCAATGTTTCCGCACCCACAAGACGGTGCTCAGTTTCAGTGAGTTTGGCGAGCCTTCCAACTGCCTCCTGAATTTTGTCGTCATTACCAATCAAAACATTCCTGGCAAACTTGAGAAACCTGCCTCCCTTAATTGCCTTTCGGGATAAGGCGAAGACCTCGATCAGAACGACAAGGATATCACTAAGATGTTTACTCAACTCATTTGAAATGAGTTCGCGGTTGTATATGCGTAACCGAACGGTAAAATTCTATATTTTTTATGTTAGTTGAAGAACAACCTTATTCTCTCGTACAGACCATACCTCAAGTGAGTCCATCAAGTCCTTGATAGCATTGTAAGAAGCAGAAACTCCTTTAGCGGCATCCATTAGATAAAGGACTGAACCAAACACAAGAGAGCTTGGAGGAAACGCTATAGAAGCTGCCCCGGACACAAGATTCCCAACCAGCTCGATGGGCTTCAGAGCACATTCTAGCGCGTCGAATAAGCCATGCCTGGTTGACCTAAAGTCGTCGAATTTGCCATTTTCCTTCTCGATTTTATCCAGCAGAGCGTCGGTGGATGTGATTTCAAGCAAGGCGGGATCAAGCAGCGGCTTTTTCGTGATTTCCTCATACTTCTTTATTGCTTCCTGGAAGACATTAGGAATTTGGTTGTATTCTCCACCCATTTTCACGCATTCGGTAGATTAGAATCAATTATTTGCTGCTTTCTTCTTCTCAAGAGTGACGGCTTATATTCTAATGGAAGAAATGGAGGATTCGTCTTGGGAGACCTCATGGTTTATATAGATCCATCGATAGGCACTCCATTGCGGGCAGGGGTATCTTATGCGAGGGGACTAAGCTCACCCCACTTCGTAATAGGATTGGAGATGAATCCTTCGCAAATGCAAGGCCGTTCTTGTTGCTGTCATGAAGGATGCGAACAAGGCTCGCACGTCCGTGGCCCCCCACTAATGTTGAGCAGGGAGACATGGGTCCAATAAGTGCCCGAGGAGATGCTATCGAACTAACTAGTCACTTAGCTGATCCATTGGCCGTGGACATATACTTAGATATTATACCTTCTGGCACAACCAGTCACTAACCGACATATCACCGGGAAGAGGTGGAAGGAAAGCGGTTGACGTTAAAGCAGCCTATTTAGGCGAATAGCTAGCTATCTTACTAGCTATGGGCTGGTAATTCGCTTACTAAAAGTTCCTTGCATCAAACAGCATTGATGGTTTAGTGGTAAAATCCGTCGTTGCCATCGACGGGCCCCGGGTTCGATTCCCGGTCGATGCACTTTTTCTTTTTCATTTTTTGCTCTTCTTCCTCTTACCCTTCTTAATATCAGATGAGCTCGCTTCTTGATGGAACGAAGATGTTCTATTATCACCTTTATCTATTGCTATTAACACTGCTTACTACGTATAGACTTCCTCACTATACACTTCACCGCAGTTTTCCTGGAGTCAGGCAGACAGACATTTGATTGTTGAACCATATAAAAAGGCGAAAGGGGGGAGAGTTACAGATACAAACTCCAGACACTCAGGCATAGCCGGAAGGGCAGAATAGAGGCATAGATAAAAATAATATAAGACGTGAGGGGGCGGTGACGCACAGGTAAATATAGATAGGCAAGTAGGGAGGTACGTGGGTAAAAATAGAAAAGGGGAATAAGAGGAGATAAATATGAGTACGGCTAATAAACAGACGCCATGATGCCCATGAATGAATAGCGATGGAGATGTTAATGTTGATGAGCCCCGTATGAAATGGTTAAAACAGTAAGAATGAGAGATGAAGCTATTTTAAGTAGTCGTCAACGACGTTGATAAACGCCCCTGCGCCGCCGTCTTCGCTGAGTTCGTTTACAAGTGCCTCGGTCTGCTGGTACAGCCGCTCTAGTGTCGCGGAGGAGGACTTCCCCAGTGATACTATGGCGGTCTGTTAGTAGATGTAGTGGGAAACAAGTGTGGAGGGGCGTTACCTAAGATGGCAGAGTTTAGTTCCTCCGCGACTGCAACTCGACCGCTGGGATCCAACAAGTGGCCGTGAACAGAGGTTTTGGGGTCCGCATAGGCTACTAGTGAGAAGATGTCATCCAGAGTCTTTTTGTGCTCCTTCTTCTCGTCACCGGGGTAGTCAGCTTGTAGCTGCTGGCCATACAGTATAGCTTCGTGCAGAAGATCTTGGTCCTTTTTGACAGTTGTGGTGTCGTTGTTAGCATTGTTGGTATTGCTGGCGTCAGTGTCCATCATGTCGCTAGCAGCAATTGCTTCGCTGGTATCGACGTCAGGCATTTGGTCATCGACTTCCATGTCCAGTGTGAAGCCGTCGGAAGTGGTTCTGGTAGGATCCGACAGGCCATTTGATGAACTGATTGCGGCAGGCTGCGGCTCAGTACAGCGACGCATCATCTCAATGAACTTTCTGCATCGTAGTCTGAAATGGATGTGTGGGTTGTCACCGAGGACGCTGGCATAGTGTACATTCGTCAGCTTCAGGGCCCTGTCGATGTCTCCCTCCAGTATCGCTGCTCGTATTTCTGCGCACGAAGTTAGTTAGTACTATTTGATGGGGAATAGATGAAGCCTGGGCGTACTTTGTCTATTGATGGCATCTACGTCATCCTCAACCTCGAGTTCCTTCATGGAGACTTCGCCGGAAGTCTGCAAAGCACGCTTTTCATCCTGAACTTCCTGTGCGAATATCTTGGCAGTTTCTACATATCCATCATGTGCAAGGAACTGGGCAACGAGTTTCTGCATGAATTCCGATTCATCTAATGTGGGATGCAAGGTAGAGAGGTCCGTCCTCTGGATGTTCTGCTGGACATCATATTTTTCACTCTATCCAAGTTCTCGTTAGTATTCCACAGCCCATGCACGAGATGGGAGTGGGACAACGTACCGCCATCATACTATCTATGTCGAAGATGAATGGAAACTGGCCAAAGTTCGCCTTGACATGTGCGCCAGGCTGTTTTCTCATGCCTACACAAGGGTAGAGCTTTGCGGGCTTCAAATCACGGAACGCATTTCCTGCCATGACCATTAGTAATGAGCTTCCTAAAATCAACAGCAGATAATATGTCTGATAGACTGTACAAACTCACCGAGGAAAGACCCATTTTTCGTGAAAAAAGCATTTCCAGTAGAGAACACAATGCCGCATCCAATCGTATCATTGACGGTAAACGTAGGTCCATAAGGCCTTCCCTGGCCCTGGTTGTCACCGAAAAACGTCTTACCGTCATCACCATGGTAGGCCCAGGATTCCTGCTCCCAGCCAGGCAATCTCTCCAGAGAAGCCTTGTTATTCGAGAAACCCACTCCAATCATACTGTTAAAGCTGTTAGCAAGTCTCCTTTTTTTATTTTTGTCGCATAAGGTTAAAGGCTGTTGAATGAGCTGAGTGGTCTGACATACCCGTCTTTCGGTTTGGCTAGGATAGTGACTTCAAAGTAATATATGCCACATTTGACAGGCATGGGCTGATCGGCTCTTACGGCTGCAGCCTCGTGTTCCTGTTTAGGCACATGGCCAATATACCGTACCTCTAGCCCTTCTCCTAACAAATCCAGGCCGCTGTACTTATCACTCTCGTTCCAGCGCGAGGGTAATGGGGTGAGTTGCTGTCCCTCTAGTGGTGCACTCGAGTCACCGCCAGGACCATGACTCTCAACAATATCATATGTCATTCCTCTGTGCGAAGGCGCCATGCGGTGTAGGTTAAGCTGACTCGACGAGGCAGATAGAGGGAGTGAGGAGGCTGAGGGGAGATGTTGGGCGGAGGAGCCTGGGGTAGGCGTATGCTGATTCTGTGATTGAGCATCCCGTTGGGAGGAGAGCTTTGCCTTGTGAGCTGCGTATAGCTGGGCAACGTATTTCGACGAACGGAGGTATGAAGGGGTGAAGAAGGAGTCTTCTGGGTTTTGTTGGTATAGCGAATTGTTGAGGCCAAAAGGTAGGGAATTCATATCTGCTTGTTCGAGAAGTTTCTCAAATTGCTTTGAGTATGATGGGAGCTGCCCCATGCCGATGCCCTGGCCCAGTTGGAAGGAGATGTTTGAGTTTGGTCTCCGCCAGCTGTTTGTGGTTGTGCCTGCGCCGGCACCGCTGCCGTTTGTCTGCTGCTGCATGGCTGCGGGATCCGCGGGGAGTGCGGAAGAGGAGAAAGGGACTTGGTTGCGGGATCTGGAGGAGGAGGAGGTATCTTGGATGGCGTTGTTATTGGTGCTAGACGATGCGGTTAGACTTGAGCGGAACGGAGACGGAGGGTAGTGCTCGTCATGCTCGTGCTCTGCTTGACCTGGCTGGCGCGACAGGACGGAGGCGTAAGAGGACCTGCGCGTGCGATAGATGGTAGGGATGGCTGTGGTTGGTAATGGGTAAGGGGAAGTCGAAGCTGGAAGGCCAGTGCCGGTGCCATTACCAGCTCCAGAGCCAGCTCCAGAGCCAGCCCCTATACCAGCACCAGAGCCGGAGCCTGGTACACTGCTCATGGTGGGCGTGACAGCGCTGTACACCGATGCCTTCTGATGCTGATGTTGCTGGTGCGGGATATCAGGAGTCCGTACCTTTGGGTGAGAAGCTATTGAAGTGCCCCCGTGCAGCGACAGAGTCAGTAAATGCGTTCTCCAGAAAACAAGAGAGACAGGTACTCGTCAGTGCTGCTTGCTTGAAACTGAGTGACCTTTAGTTACTTACCCTGCTACTATCCTCCTTTGCTTTGCTTTTTCCCTGCTCGATCTGCTCCTTTACTCTGTTTCTGTTGTGGTACGGTGTCACTGGTCCAGCGTGTATCTGCCTGAGAGTGTGTGTTTGTGTTTGTGCGTGTGCGTGTGTGCTGCCCGTGTCCAGCAGTGGTAAAAATGGTCCACCAGCTCGATATTTCTTCTTCTGCCTTCTTCTTTGAAGCTGGCAGCTCTGCTGCTTGCGCTTATCGATAGTTAACTAGTTGGTCAAACAACTAGCTGCGGCAGCATAGCCCCAAACCGAGCAGAGCAGTGCGTAACTATGCCGAGTCTGAGCAAAGAGAAGCTGCAGACGATGTTATATAGTCGAGGTACAGCACTTTATGACAGCATGGCTGTGTGTCTGGGTGCTCTCTCTCACTCTCTGTGTATGTGTGGCGTGGGTGTAGTTATAGCGTGTAGTTATGTAGTTCTGGCGGTGATGTTGTTTTCTGAGGGGAAAGAAGGTAGTCAGTCCGGGGTCGACGGCTAGCCGTGGTCAAGGGTCGGGCGCTGCGGGAGGGAGAAGCAGACGGACAGCTGCGCGCAGGCGACTCAGCGGCCTACGGCGAAGAGACGAGCGACGAGCGTATCTTTCTTGTTTCTTCTGCTGCTTCTGCGTGTCCGTCTCTGCTGCGAGAAGCTTGTCGCAGGTTGGGGTTGACGTTGAAAGCCAAAAGAGCTACAGGCGGACGAAGTAGAATGGAGGGCGGTCGGGAAGGGGTCACATGAGCAGGGACAGGGCCACGCACACGAGCAGCAGAGGAGCAGCAGAGGAGTAGCAGAGAGGATGTCTACGGTGATAGAAGGAGAAGGTCTGCGTAGTAGGCAGGGAGCGGTCAAGCAGTTGTTTGGATGCTGATGTTAAGGAGGCTCGAAGGCCGGCTATCTAGAAGTACATTGGTAGAGAAAGGAACCTCTAAAGAGACCGACCAACCGACCACACCCATATACCATTAGTAGTAGTAGTAGTAGTAGTAGTAGTAGTAGTAGTAGTAGTAGTAGAAGTAGAAGCAGGAGTAGCTGTAGCAGTGTTCGTTTTTGTTGCATTGCACCTGGCAGGAAACAGGAGAAGACGAAGAAGAGCGAAAGAACCGAAAAAAAAAAATCCAGACCGAACATCCCAAGACGCCGTGATGAAGTGTGTAATGTGTGTAAGTATGGTATAGGGGGTAGAAGACGGGAGAAAAGGATTAAGACGGAATAGTGTACAGTGTATAATTGAAAGTGAAAAGAAAGGGGGAACGAAGATGAGAGAATCGAAAGAAGAAGGGAGAGGGAGATAAACGGAAGACTTAAGAAGCAACGGCAACAGGAGCAGGAGAGTCGATATCCATCATGCTTCCGGCAGGCGTAGCATCTCTCTCGGCTTCAGGCTCAGCTTCAGTAGGATCAGCAATGCTCTTCTCACTCTTCTCACTCTTCTCACTCTTCTCACTCTTCTCACTCTTTGCACTCTTTGCACTCTTCTCGCTCTTCTTGTCTTTCTCCTTGTCTTTCTTCTCTCCGTTGGTAGTCTGCTTTTCTTTCTGCTTCTCCTCTTCTTCCTCTGGCGTTGGCTTGGGGCGAGGAGGAGCCCCCCAGCTAGGAACCTGCCATATCACACCAGTAAAGGACTTGAGCTGGAACGACTTTCGCTCCCACTTGCGACAGGGCTTGCCTGAGCGGTCCAGAGCACGCAGACAGGCGTTGATGGCCCCCTGATTGGCCTTGGGCCCCAGGCGGTGGTGAGGTGGAGGTGGTGGACGAGAGGGAGTCTCTCCGTCTTCCCTGTATCGCTATTAGCATGCTTCTCTTTATTCTCGGACGTGTATGTATTAGGAGAAAGGACAGTCCCAAGTCTATTCAACTTACAGTCTTGGTTTCTTCTTGGGGCCCGGCTTGCCTCGTGGTTTAGGGAGGCCGTCTGGACCTAGAGCCTGAGCACCTCTCTTGGTCCCTGCCTTTGCAGCCCCCGACCCCGAGGCCGGTGCTGAAGTAGGCCCGTTGGCGGTGGCAGCACCCGAACCAGAGACCGAAGCTGAGGGAGTCGAAGGGGTAGGCCCGGTACCGGTCGAGGCAGCGTCGCCGTCTGAGGCGTTATCGGTGAGAGGAGCAGCGGGCGGCGTGGACGGCGAGCTGGACTCGTCCTCCTTGTTGGCCTGGCTGTCCTCGCTGGCATTGCCGCTGCTGCCTCTGGGGAAGCGGCTGAGCAGGGCTGGCGGCAGCGAGAGGACGACTATCCTGTTCATCTTGGAGGCGGTGCTGCTGGCGGTGCTGGCAGAGCTGGCTGCTGGCTGCGAGGAGGTCGACGAGGCGTCTGAGCCGGCCATTGTGCGGTGGTTGTGCGGTGTTAATACAGGGCAGCGTGCAGGTTTGGGCAGAGTTTTCCGGTCCGGCGTGGCTCCTATTTATTTATTTTTTTTGGTTCTCTTGGTGGCCCTCTTCCGGCGAGGAGCGGAAGAAGGAGTCGAGGTAATTAGGTTAGGGGCAGCCCGTCGGCGCTGGCGATGGGTGCAGAGAGTCGAGCGGTGGGAGGCAGCGAGGTGAGATGGACTGGATGACGGAGGTGACGGTGGTGGAAGGGCGAGGACGAGGGCGAAGGCGACGGGGAAGAAGAAACGGGGAAAGGTGGTTTGAGTGTGTCATGGTGGCCGGCCGGTGGTGGTTGGTTTTTTCGCTTGTCCTTGTCCGCGCATCCGTCTCACTAACCACGACTAAGGAGAGAGACTGACGGGCGACTTGTCTTTTTTGCTTGGGTCGTTCTTGAAGGGTCGCAAGGACGGGCAAAAGCGACGCGGCGGGCAAAGCGACAAAGGGCGAGGGCTGAGGTAAGCAGGAAGAAGGAAACCTTACTATAGGTAAGGTAAGGTAGGAAAGGCGGCGGCGGCGGCGGCGGCGAGGCTGGAGGGCTGGTCACGTCTGGTAACGACGGGGGCTTAGTCAGGGGAGTGGGCCAGTCAGCGGGCAGGAGCAGGGCAGGGAGCGTTACCGCTAGGGCCGCGTCTGGGGCTAGTGGTACTGCAGTGACGGGAAAGTTACGGCGCTAGTAAGGATGACTAAGGAGTGATAAATAGGCTCTATGCTTATATAAGATATTATATAATACAGGATGACAGCATCCACTGTTTGCTTTCACAGTCTTTGCTTTCCTCGACGATGCCTCTTCCTCTTCCCTGGTGGTGACGTTGATGCTACTGCTGCTCGTTCCGGCCCTGTTGCCTCCCTTGTTTGGCGGCGGCGATGGCCTGCTGCACCTCGGGAGCCTGGCCAGCCTCCTCTCTGCGCAGACGCTCCTTCATGCCTCGCCGCAGCCGGCCTACCCTGTCCACGTCCCCCCGGAAGGGCAGCATGTCCATCCCGAGCAGCTTGGCGCTCTCTGCGTCTTGTGCCTGGGCCAGCTGCACGATCTGCGTCAGCTGTTTCTGCGCCTGCACGCTCAGCCCTTCTCCTCCTCCTCGCCCCTTGCTCCGGCCGGCCTGCAAACTAGCCTCGGGCGGCGCCAGCTGCGAGATGAAGACGTTCATGGACATCGACGCCGAGCGCGCAAGAGACAGCATCTGGAACGGCAGCAGATAGAAGCGGTCCAGCCCCAGGAGATTGCTGAGCATAGCTGGCAGGTAGGCACCTGGCATGAAGGTTGCATTCGGGTGGGTAAGCAGCGTCAGCTCCAGTGTCAGCAGTGCAAAAAACGTATAGAACCGCCACTGAGGGAGTCAAGTCAGCCGGGAGACTTCCACCAGAGGAGAGAGGGGAAAAAAAAAAAAATACACTTACGTATCTACCCCAAGCAGAGAACCAGAAGGTGTTGAGCAGCACCATCAGCAGAAAACCAACAAGGTACTGCGGTGCAAGCGCATAAAGGCCTTCGTAAAAGTAGGTGGCCATGCTCAGCGTCTTACTTGGACCTTCCGGCCGTACCACTACCCCAGCCCCGAACCGGTCATACGCAAACCTCTTGACTGGGTCAAGCAGCGTGTCCTGAGCCAGCTTTAACAGCACAAAGAACTCATCCGCCTTCGCCCCATCCTCAGCAGTCGAGCCTAAACCATTCTGTCGTGCCTTGTCGGGATGGAATACAGTAGCCAGTCGGCGGAAGCGTGATTTGATGGTCCGCTCGTCCGATGTAGGCAGTACGCCTAGTATTTGATAGAAGTCTGGGGCCACACGGAGGCTGTGGTATTCTTCGTAGATGGTGTACAGCAGGTAGCTGCTAATCACCGCGACATGGATGCGCCGGCGGTGACGGGCATGCCGCTCTGAGCCGGGCTGAGGGTGTGGTGTGCCAGCACTGATGGTAATGCGGTAGTAAAGGTTCTGCAGGAACGACGTAGCTATCTGGTTGATGGGATTGTTAGATTACCAGGTCGTAATGTCAATGTCTGTATGACGCGAGAGGAGGGGGACTTACTCCTGGGAGGAAAGCCCAGCCAGCATAGGACAAGACTCTAGATGCCGCGTCCATCTTGTAGAAACCCCAAAAACATAAGAAGAAGAAGCAATATTAAACAGTGTCCATTTTTTTAATATAAAAAAGAATCAAAGAAAAGAAAAGGAAAGAAAGAAATGCTTCACTGCTCTTCTCTAGGTCGCTCCATATCTCTTGATGCCACGACACATGAAAAAGAGAGACACTCGGCGGCTAAACGTTAAGATGGGCGCTTCCCGGCTTGGCACTAGCCGCCAGCGAAGAACCTTATTCTCTTATTTTTTTTTTTCTCCCTTCCCTTTTCAGCTCAGAATTCAACCCCCCAGCGGTCGGCGTGAGAGGACGACAAGAGATACTTGTCAATTGACTGCTAACATGTCGATGGATGCAATGGAGATCGACTCGATAGCGTCGCCGGAGAAGAAGCGCAAAGACAAGAGTGAATCGAAGAAGCGAAAGAGACAAGAGCAGGCGAGCGAGACAGTGGTTGTCGACGACGGCGAGAAGAAGAAAAAGAAGAAAAAGGACAAACACTTGAAGAAGGATGAGAAGCAAGCCGTAGATGGCGGTGGAAAAGGAAGAGAGAAAGAAGCGTCCCGAAAACCGCTGTCAAAGGCCTCGTCGAACGATAAAGATACCCATTCCCTCTCCTCGACCGCAGACCAGCTCCCTTCTTTCCACCGCGTGACTACAACTCTCTACCTCCCTCTCTCGCCCATCGCTATATCACCCACCCATGCCGTGTCTTCTTTGCTAGCAGAGCACATCTCCCCTCTGCTTCTGACTTACTACCCTCCCGTCCGCGGCGTGGTTCTCGCTTACTCTAACCCTTCCATCTCAGCCACCAAGCCCACGCCGAATGCAACATCAGCCCACACTCCTAACCCAGAACCGCTCACCCTCGCTAAAACAGCAGGCGAGTATGGTGTCTTACATACCTATCTGACACTTACCTTCCTCGTCTTCCGGCCCGAACGAGGTCAGACCCTCGAGGGCTGGATCAACGTCCAGTCCGAAGACTTTCTGGGTGCAATTGTGTTTAATCTGTTCTCCATTGGCATTGAACGGCGTCGATTGCCCGCGGACTGGAAGTGGATTGCCCCAGGCCAGCAGTCAGACAGGCCCAGCACAACCAGCGCATCACCTACATCGAGCAGCAAGGACGAAGAAGACGATGACGATGACGAACCGGACTCAGATAAAGAGAATTTCAAGCCCTTGGCATCGAATAGCGAGGCCTCGCAGTTTGAAGACGCGGCGTCGGCGGAAACGGGATATTTCCAAACTCGTTCCGGTAAGAGGGTTCGTGGAACCATTCGGTTTCGCGTTCGAGATGTCGACGTTATACCAGGCAGTGAGCGTGATAAGGGCTTTCTTAGCCTTGAGGGGACAATGTTAAGTAAGGAAGATGAGGAGAAGCTTGTTACCGAAGAAAGGAGTAAGGCTTCAGGCGCCGGGAGGGCAAAGAGTGGTGATAACTACCATGATCCTACATCTACAGAGCGCCAGGAAGCGCCAGATGTGGATATTGATCTTGATGCTGACGAGGACGAGGATGTGACCATGACTGAGGCCGTGGAGGTGCAACCGTCATCAACAAAGGAGAAGAAAAGGAGAAAAAGAGAAGAAGGAGAAGAAGGAGAAGAAGAGTAAAAAGGAGAAAAGCTCCAATTCGTGAGGTATAATGACTTTTTTTATTCAATATGAATTGATCCTTTACTTCCCCATGCCTATCAACACCGGACTACAGTCTGCTTATGTAATCACTTAATCAATTTCGCATGTAGACGATTGCAAGAAGAGATCTCAAACGAACTCCACCAAACAATTGACAATGACATTGGTATAAACCATCAAGCGAGACGAGATAAAATTAAGGAATAGAAATAACCGCCACAATGCCGCCTACAAGCCAGGAGCTTTCACTACTCATAAATCCCCTCGTCCCAGAATCAGTCACACATAACAACCGGGTAGCTACCCTCCATCCATCTTCCGTCCATACATCATATCCCCCAACCAGAACAAAGAGAGTTGACAGCAGATTTAGATACTCGCAAACCTGCATTCCCTCATAGCCTTCCTACTAGGCACCGCCGCCGGCATCCTCGGCCTCCAGTCCGCTTACGGCTTTACATTCTACCTGCTAGGCACCATATTTGTTTCCTTCCTTGCCAACGCCCTTCTAGTTAAAGACAACACACCCAGAGCAGCAGGGAAAAGTACGAACAAAGGCATTTCCGGCGTCGGTGCCTACTTTCCGGGCGATGGGGAACTGGTCCCCGCAAGTGGTGGTGGATATGTGAGGAAGGGAGCCTGGAAGGATCTCTGGTTCAGCGGACTTGTTGCTACAGAGGCCATTAGCGGGTTTGTTCTTGGATGGGCTGGTGTGGGCGGTATCTTGAGATAGACAAAAGTTGGCCGTGTGTTATTTGCTCTAATGATATCGGATACAGCAGATAATGTTAAGAAGTCAAGCCCTTTGGTGGCCCTGTCAGCCACACCCAGTGATACCAGGCAACTAACAGATTGGCTATTGCTCAAGTATTGTAAAGATGTTAACTGTGCCAATCATTATCATGAACATGTCCAAGGCTTGCTACCCTTCTAAACAATCACATTGTGCAGCTGCCTCATGCGCGGCAATGAAAGCCTCCATGTGCTCCGTATTAATGAGGATACAATATTTGGGGCTAATCAGCATGCATTAATGAAACTACAACTGCAGTATAGAGCCTTTTGATGTATTCTAAACCCCGAATCTGTTGGGCAAAGCAGTCAATATCCCTTTTTTAGAGCAGGGGAGAGTAAGTGATCAGTTAAAGATCTATTAATAACAATTGCTTAACTATAGAACTAGAACAAGTCAGGTACCGTCTAATAGAACATACTAATCATATCGCGGAGTTGGACTGTGATTCTTTTTTTTCTCTCCCTCTCTTTTGCTCCCTCACTCCCGAAATCAATATCGACTTAAATTGGATTAACTAGCCACACTCTTCTCGCTATACGGCTCGCCGACGTTATTACTCTTATTATTATGCGGCTGTCCCTTGCCTTCCCAACTTCCGCCCTGGTCATATCACGTGCTCTGATATCACGTGTTTGCTTACATAATTTCTATTTTCCAACGTCACGTTTGAACAACGCGACTTTCTCCTCCTTCGACATTCCGATATTGAGTCTCTATCCACTTCCAACCACGGTCTCAGCTGGACCACTCGCAGTATGGTTTTGGGTGAATATATCCTTTTGGTTTATATTTATTACTCCCTTTGCTATATATCCATTAGCTGTCTAAGGGTATAGGCTTTATATCCAACTAATATATTCCCTTTAACATATACCCTCAATAGTTTGAAGAATTTCCTTTAAGGGTAGGCCGAATACGCCCGATTAAGTGTTAGCAATATATATATATATATATATACCCTTAGCCATTCTAGAAGATAGAGCTAGTACCTAGGCTAGTTTCCTCTTAGCGTATACCCTTGCTAGCCTGGGGATTTCCCCGTAGGGAAAGCCTTAATCTGCCCTCTTGAATATCAGCTATTACTCTCCTTAATACATACCCTTAAATCAGCGAGCGGAAGGAGATAACTTACCTGGGAGCGTTGCCTACCCATCCTCCTATTTGCCTGCTTGCTATTAACCCACATTCCTCCTCAGCAATATGCCAACTACCGTCCTCCTGAGCCCTTGGACCTACGCTGTTATTGATAGACAAATAATATCGACATAATATCGGCCAGGGAAGGGGGTTTACTGGAAGGGAGTCTACGGGAAGGGAAAAGAGGGGCATGGCTGCTTCTCTCTTAAATTTCTTTGGACAAAAAATCATTCATTTGCTCATTGAACAAAAAATAAAAAATGAAAAATAAAAAAGAAAAAAGAAAAAATACAAAAATACAAAAAAAAAGGAGAAAAAGGGAAAAGAAGAAAAAGAAGTCTCACTACAAGATAGAGTATCAACCATTAGCACACCATATTTTTGACTCTTATAGAGTTTGTTTTTACATACAACGAGTTTGCTGGAGGGTAGAGGTTCATCCTCAGGAGCGGGCGCATCGGCCTCCTCAAAGGCTTGGAAGGCGGTGTCCATGGGCTCCAAATTAGAGATGTCGACAGAGGAGCAGGACTCCTCGTCGGCGGGGCCGGGAGCGGGAGGGGCCTCCTCGGTGGAGGAAGGAGGAGGCGGCGGGTTGTCGGTGGTGGTGGTAGCAGTAGTGGTGAGGGGTGGGAGGTCGGGGCGGCTGAAGTCCGCCCAGCGCCGACTAATCGAACGTCAGTGCTATGACGGCTTTCTTTTGGAGGATTATAACTTACATGGCGTAGCCAATGGCTCCCGACAAGTTTATGGCACACGGGCCAAAAAACAGTCCCATCGTGGCAATGATGCCCACTATCCCACCGGCCCCTAGCTGGGCAATTCCCTCGAAGCTGAGGGAAAAGAGCGCGGGCCACGCCGCCGATGGGTCCGCCCCGGGAGCAGTGCAGTTGCAGGGCATGGTTCTAGTGCTGGTGCTGGTGCTGTTGATGTTGTTGGTGCTGTTGGTGCTGCTGCTGTTATTATCCTTGTTGTAGTGGCTCTTGCTGCTGCTGAGGATGAAGGAGAGAGGAAGAGGAAGAGGAAGATCGAGCGTGTGCTTTCTTTTCCTAAAGGAGACGCGTTTGGCCATCACGGGTTCTGCTGCCACTCACCGTCCTCGCACCCCTTACCGCGAGGGAGGGAATACCCCTTAAGGCCTGCCGGATAGAGGTATGGCACTCTTCACGCAGCGTGCTATGCTGCTAGCCAGGGGTTCTGCTGTAAGTGCTTCGTCCAGCTGCTTAGCTAACTATTGGACATTGATATCCAGACTCTACTAGATGGATAGCGGACTGGAAGAACCCTTGGCAAACTCGACATATCCATACTAGATACATATTACTAGTATGGCGGGTTTCTTATTATTACCACATATGTATAGGGGGGTTATCAGCTCAGAATCAGATAAAGTGCAGGTCTCACTTCAGTGTATTTTCTGATAGATTATACATACAGGCAGTGAGACAACATTATCGTTCGTATAGTATAGTATGAACCCTAGTTGTGATAGAATAGGCCGCGAGGCCCTACTACCCTTCCAATGGTTGTTGCTATGCTGATTTCCGGATTTCTCTAGGTACAATATAACATATAAACGAAATAAGAAAGGTCACTCTAGTTAGGACTTCCCGACTATAGTCACAATGAGTACCCTACTTTTCTCATTCGAAAACGTATTTCAAGCCCCAACACAGTGTTAACTTTCCTGATACGATGATGCTAACTGATTCTCTCTAGGGTGCCCTCCGGAGCATCACAGAAAGATTTGCCTTTCCGGTGGCTACTGCCCCGGCATCACCTTAGTATTTGCAACAATGGAAGGGAGCAACCAAGCCCAACGCCAGTCGGACTCCTACTTCTCCATTCGTATCGTCTTCTTTAGGATTCCATTCAGCTATAGCACTTGGAACCGTCCAGCGCCCTCGATAGGGAAAGACATAGCTGAAGAACCGGTGACACCTTCAAAATCTTTGCCCTGTTTATGCCTTAAGAATCCTCAACTGCGGATACAACATCTGCAGTATAACGTGCAATGGGCGTAGTATAGTCTTTTATCTGGATATTGACCACGTGGTTTTATACAACACTGGCATGCCCTTGTACAACAACCACCTCGTATCTTGCATGCCTCCACTAGATGTTGCTGTGAAAGGTATTTTATCGGATTATTACATAGAGTATCATAATTCCGGGAGTAGCTAGCTTTATCTAGCCTTATCCTAGGGCTACTAGGTTTGCGTCGATAAAGATCATACCACATATTTGTAAGAGCCCAAGCTTGACTTGCTTCACCAATTAATAAAATTTGCTAGTCTTTTAGGCTATACTTATCCAGATCATGAATTTTGTCTAGTTTCCCTTGCATAGTATATTCGAATATTATTTCTCTGACGAATATTTGTCGTTGTCTCCATTTATGGAGTCTTAGGGTTAAAAGTAGCCGCTCGTTAACCCAGTTTATTGCTCTCCGGTCTTCCTCCCTAGATAGGAAAGCTATCTTTATCTCCCGAATTGTATTAGGAATCCAACATATCTTCATACGGTCAAATAATTGTTCGAAATTCGGGCCGATTTTTGATAATATCATAATAACAAGTATAATGCAGCCACCAGCAAGAACTTTGTTGCTGGGAAATTGTAACAAATCTCCAATTTCCATTTTTGGGCGTTCAAGACCTTATGTCAAAGATGCAAAGTTCGAAGATGATGTGAAAAAAAAATTTGAGATGTGAGGTATTGAAGACTATATAGGGCCTTTCTTAGGGTATAACAATATTTTCTCCTGAGATCCTGAGATAGCACGCGGAGTGAAAAAAAAAAAAAAAAAAAAAAAAACGAAGGAAGGAGAAGAAGATATGCAGTTTGTCCTTTTATTGTACGTAGTTAGCCTTGGGGTGAAAATCTTGCGTCAGGGTATCGTCATATAACTACGCAAAACACTTTAAAACTCAACCACGGACGGACCGCCAGCTGGTGGCATTCACATATATGGTGGTTAGTTACCTACCTAAACTAAGTTAGATAATTAACTAAGCTTTTCGGCGGCTACTAAACCTTAAGACGACACCTGATCTTCCTCTGAGAACCCATTGCCAAGTGACTACTTTAGCCTTGATAGGCAATATCTGCAATCCACACACCCTAGATTCGGAAACTAGCCTGTTTCGAATGTGCATATATCTCCTCCCAGAGGGATTTATGTGGCTCCTGATGAGCAAATAATAGTTAGATATGCTGGGCGATTTTTAAAGGGAGCTCCTTCAAAGTAGTTTTGGAAAGCTGTTGGCATGGGCACCTATTATGGTGACATCACCCAACTGTGGGCTTGGGTTATCCAGTGGTATATACTGCTTGACAGCTAAACTAAGCGTTTCTTCTTGACTGGTAGCCGTCGCATGGGGGTATTCCCTTATATGTTGGCCGGGCACGACATGCTGAACGACCCGGAAGCAGCTGACCTTCTTATTATATACCTAGGTAACTAGGCAGAGGTGCCTTGAGCTTTGTTGCCTTCTAATCTAGCCCTCCTGGTAGCCTCCATATCCAGCCATAGGGTATAACTCGAGAAAATAACATGCCGTGATTCTGACCGATTGTTATGCGACAAATACCATCATCGTCTCTTTCAGCCCCAGAGTCGAACAAAAGGTGGGGGGGGGGGGGGGGGGCACACCCCTAATCAGCAGTGCAAAAGGACTGCATATTCTTCTTCTTCTTCTTCTTCTTTTGTTTGGTTTTTTTTTTTTTTTTTTTTTTTTTTATTGGTTGGGTATCTGACCCTAAGGGTAAATAAACTCCTGTAACTGATGGCAAGTCGCAGGATATATAAATCCTTCGAGAAAACGCAAGCTGGGAAGACGAGTTCATCCTTTGCCCGGGAAGTGTACTGTACATAGCGGACATCTATTCTGTATCTACATGGCTGTACCTGGGTTGGGCTGCTGGCCCGGAGTATGTGTGAGCGGCCCAAGTGACCGTATCGTGAAGGATCCAACCCTAGACCTCTGCATTAACTGTTTTGTCCTTCTTGAGGGCTCGAAGTTTGTTTTTCTCCTCGAGCACAGCATATGCTTGTTTCTCTTTCTCCGCCTTTGAAAGGGGAGTGCTGATATACTTGTTGACTTCAACGGTGCCCTAGTAAAAATGTGTCAGGAATGAAAACCCAAAATGTGAAAGGGCCATGGTTAGATACTTACCGTAATAAGAGCCCACAGGAAGGGGACCTGGATAACCTCGCTGCTAACAATAGCCTCCCCAATCTTACCATCCTCTGCGGCTTTCCTCTCAGCCTCCTCCTTGGCCTTTTTAGACTTGATCCAGACATTTCCAAGGAAGAATACGGCCACTAGACTGATTGCCATAATAGGAATAATTGAAATAAATGCCCACATCACAGCATTCTTCGCCAGGTTGCGCACATAGTTTTGGATATCCGGGGGCAATTTGTCAATTGCCTCCAGGCTTTGACCCGTATTATGTAGGTCCAGGCCTCCCTTACCACTGCCAGGTCGGAAGATCTCGGCCATCTTGTTGTTAAACACACTGCCCATAATGGTCAACGCAAGTGTTCCGCCAAAAGGCAGGCTGAACCTCATGATGGACATGGCAGGGGCAATCCTATCGGGCCAGATTCCAGCCACATGTAGTGTGGCCGGCATAAATCGCATTCCTGTTCCAGCGCCAGCAACAGCCATCATTCCGCTAACGACAGGAATGTTTCGAGTTGTGGTTGCCCAGGTCAGGAGGGCGATTCCAACTGTTTCGATTACAGTGCCCACACTTAGGGGAACGAATGTTTGTGCCGGCCAGACATTGCAGGTGAACATGGCAAAGTAAGCGCCAACTATTACTCAGAGTTAGTTGCAGTTGTTTATAGAAGTAGATTTGTTATGCGGATAACTTACATCCAATACCCGGGATATAGTAGAGTAACTGGAGGCCAGAGCGCCCAGCTTCGTAACCCTCAACAAGGGTGAAGTAGATCGAGATGAAATAGAAAACAGAAAACATGGCTTTAGGGGTTTGAAATATTAGTATCAGATATGGTAGAGATTCTATAGCGTTGGCTAGTGGACTTACCAGCACCAGTTGCAAATTCGATAATGGCCAAGACAATAGTATCCCTATTCTTGATGATGTCCGAGGGTATCATAGGTGTCTGTTGAGGAAGTAGACGGCCAAATACACGTTCGGGTTCAAGTAGGTACTCATAGACAAAGAAGAAAACAAAAAGAATCGACCCGATAACCAGTGGAGTAAGGACGGCCGCATGGGTCCATGGGTATGTAACACCACCCCAAGCAGTACCAAGAATAATCAGGCCAACGCCAAAGACAAATAGAAAAGTGCCGCCGATATCAATAGTAGCCAGGCCAGGTAAGAAGCTGCTGCGTCGAGACCCTTTTGTGAAATGGCTTCCTTGTACCAACTCATTGCGTAGCAGAAAGTATATAATGAAATGTGCAAAAAATGCAACCTTGGTAGGCAGTTTAGTTCATACTCCCCTGAAACTGGGCTGAGGAACTCACTGGTATAGTCAAAACAAAACAGTATCTCCAGTTAGACTATTAATTCCGTGGTCAGTAAGCAAATACCCTGAGATGATCAAAAATCTCCTTACATTTGTTAGATATCTATTCAATTATTAGCTTCAACAATATCAACAATACTAAGAACACAAAACCCAGGGGTTAAACTTACCCACCGATAATAGGCCCCACACTGTAGGAAATTCCAGCAACGAACTGGAAGATGGTACTGTTCTTTGCGTTGTCTTTCAGGCTGACTTTATCGGCCAGTATTATCTGAATCAAATTTGTGATACCCGATGCGCTTGTTCCTTGCAATGCCCTACCTAGCAAGAGGACACCCCACGATGGGGCAACAGCGCATAAAACGCTGCCGATGAGCATAAGAAACATTGCTAGTTGTAGAACGAAATGGCGGCCAAAGACATCGGATAGTTGGCCAAAGGCAGGAATGAACGCCGTTGAAGTAAGGGTAAAGGCCGTTACAATCCAGTTGAGTTGATCCAACTTGTCTATATGAGGTTAGAAGAGGCTTCTGAAAAACCAGTGAAGCTGAAAGGGGTCATACTAAAGTGAGATGCAATAAAAGGCAATGCAGCAGCGACAATGGTCAAGTCCACGGATGCTAGGAAGTATGGGAGCAATAAGCCCGCAATCAACTTCCATCGGTAAACACGGGCGTTATGTTTCTCCTTTTTACACAACTCACATGGCCCTGACGCCTGTATTTGAGATCGCTGGTTTAAATCGGCTAACTCGAGGGAGGCTTCTGCCTGCTGGGGTTCAAGAGGCCCGGCTTCCGGGTGAATGTAAGTCTGCTTTGATGTGTTTGATAATAATGGTGAGGTTGAAGTTTGGCTTTGGCTTCCTAGACGATGTGAACACAACTTCTTCTCATTGTGTTTCTCTGAATGAACGGCTGGCTCAGAACTAGGCTGGTTTTCTTCGCGGCGCTTCTTGATTGCTTTATATATAAGCATTTTGTGTACCGAATTGTAGAGGGGAATGAGATGAAACGGGGAGTTATGGCTAATCCTATATGAATTGCACTGAGGAATAATATTGTTGATATCGTGGTGGGTGGACGAAAGGTGCGTTCCGGAGGAATAGGCATAGGTCTATATATCATGGCCTGACTGGCTCGATACGAGCCAATTTCCATAACGAGATAGCTCCATCAAATTCCCTTTGAAGCTCCGAAAAAGCTTGGTGCGCAGGTGTGGATACGAGTATCCTTGTGTGTACAGCCACTGACCGCAGACAGGCCACAACCAACCATTTGGGTGACGACCGTACTCTTCAGCTGCAGGGCAAAACAATATGGTACACATGAGCCATCGCAAGCAGACATTCTCACCCCGTGGGTTTGCCTTGCTAAGGTGAGCCATCTTAGGAGGTAGGCAGTCAATGGCACGGTCAGCTGGGATTAACGTGTTGGTACTTCGTTGGTAAATGAGGCTTCAGGCAGAAACATTACTGTCACAGCTAAGAGAGCTATGGGGCCCATCTGGCCAGCTGCTTCTCTGCCCTTGAAACATAATATCAAGAGAAGCTTGCTGTATAAGTTGAAACCCCGAGTGGTCGCAACTCTTACCAAAAATGGTAAAGGGTTTGTATCTGCACAGCCCAGACAGAAGGGCAGCGTGCTGATTAATTCACAATGAAACTAACTTCTTCTGGCAATCACTGCGAAGTCAGCAGGAAGCTCGGACCATGCGCCAGGGGGAAAGTTGATTTAAGCTTTTTCGCTAGCCTAAAAAGGGAAAACACTCGTATTGGGGCTGCAGCTGAGCCTCATTTAGGGCAACAAGAAAACGAGATAGGCGAGAATAGAGAGCACCTTCACTCGAGAAGGGGGAGATCTCTAGAATCAAAATGGTTACTCACCAATAAGCAACAGATCAATGACTTAATGATAAATGAAGTAAAAGTATGTATAATATATAATATTTATATATATATATTTCGTGCCCCACATTATATGTAAGTAGGGGAGTCGAGGCTAAATTAAGTGGCCTCGAAGGCACCAGGCTAACTCCAACATCCTCATGTAATCGCTGAGAGGTATTTCCAGACAAATAAAACACAGAAAAAATAGTATCTAATCCAAAATCAGAGGGAAAAGAACCCACAAAGCGACAATAGAGTATATGTAATATAGACAAAAAGAAGCAGAAACAGGGCACGAAATGTCGTTCAAACACGAAACTCTATCAACGTATTCGTGTGAAGACTTTTATGCAGCAAATTGGTATCATTGCAGGGCATTAGCGGTAGCGCTTTGTAGAGCGCTGGTTAGGTCGACGTGGAACATAGGGCGGTTCATGCTGTTCACAACAGCACCTCGAGAGCCGCTAACTTTCTCAATTTCCTTGTGGTAAACACCATCCTTGCATATCTCCACCTGTTCGGTGGGTGCTTGCGAGGCTGGCGTGATGGTTCCAATCTCTTCGTCATGGATCCTACTGGTGTGCTTGGGGTCCAATTCAAGTGAGCCGGTGGAGCTGTTGGATCCATCGATGCTGGCAACGCTGAAGACTGGTTTCCAGCGTGGAGCTGCGATCTCAGCTCCTGCAGGGGAGGTGGGGTAGCCGAAACCAGCAGCAGCAAGAGCACGTTTAGTCCACCTGTTGTTGACGTGGGCAAAGTGCCACTGGACAACATCTGGGGCGGCATGTCGGTCGAGCTGCTCTCTGACATCAACCAAGTTCTGGACAGAGGTTACATCGACATTGTTAACGGAGGAGAAGTCCATTATGACAGCTTTGAGGGTTGGCAGATCGGCAGTCGAAGCCTCGGTCTCGCCGCGCTTGGGTCCAGGGTTATTCCATGGTCTGTCACCCATACGTTCATATGCATTCTGGTTAGTGCGACGAGTCTTGGCCAAGATATGAGCGACGAAGTCATCAAGATAACCGTTGGAATTAGGGTAGTTGAATCCTTCAGAGAACTTGTAAATGAAGATACCAGGCAAAGCATGTTCAACCTGAACATCGGGGTTAGAACCATCGCGGTGGCTGAGAGGAAGGAAGATGTTGCGACTGCTTGATCCTCCAGGGATGCCCGAGTTGTCATCAAAAGTGCCATACTTTCCGTCATTATCCAGGACATGGTCGCCGAGGACGGAGTTGACCTTGACACGTCCAAGGAATTCACCCTTCGCCTTAACAAGGCGGAACAGGAGAATAGCCAAGGAGAAAGCAACGGTAGCATAGATACCATTCTCAATGGTGGAGAAGACAGAAACGAAGACACCAAGAAGGAAGACAATAACCTCAAGCGGAGAGACTTTCCAGAACTGGTAAACAACGTTTGGAGGAGTAATTAGATCGCCAACAGCGTGGATGATAACGGCGGAGAGGGAAGAGTTGGGGATATAGAAGAAAACGGCTGGGAGGGCATAAATAGCTAGGAGAACAACCATAGCAGTGAAAACACCGCCAAATGGGGTTCTAATTCCAGCCTTCGAGGCAATAGCAGTACGGGAGAAAGAACCAGTAGCCGGGTATCCTCCGAGGAATGGACCAAGCATATTACTGGCACCAATGGCGACGAGTTCTTGGGAGGGGTTAATGGTGTAGTTATTAATACGACCGAACGACTTGGAGATGGCAATGTGCTCAAGCAACAAGACAATGACGGAAGCTGGGATTTCACCAGAGAATGTGCTCAGAACGCGTGAGTTAAGGACAGGGACACCAGCATTTTGGAAGCCTATCAGTCATGTTAGTATTATAATAACTTTGAACATCTCCATCCTAATTGTTACTTACCTCGTGGAACAACGCCCAAGATCTTGAAAATTGGCTTCATTCGGTGGTTTCGGTTAACCAAGAAGCTGACGAAGGTGTAGAGAAGGATGACGAAGACTGCGCGCAGCGTAGAAGCAAAGAAGTAGACCTTCGCCTTAGAAGGATGACGCTTGGCCATGTAGGCGCACCCCGAGCGAATAAAGTAAAGGAGGAAAAGGGCAGTGAGTCCCATAGCAGCGTCGATCTTAGCACTTGGCAAATGCTTGAGAGAACCAATAATGACTTCATAGGTAGTACCTCGGGTGTTGAAGCCACTGAGCCCGAGCAGGGATGGTACTTGGCCGGAAGCAATGCTAAGAGCGGACCCAGTCATGAAAGCGGATATGGCGGTGAGTGGAATGAAGTCAACGATCCAGCCGCACCGGATCAAACCAATAAAGGCAATGATACCACCAGCGACAATACCAATGGCGGACGCAACGACCTCTGGGGGAACATCGGGATGTTCAACCTTTGCCTTGTCGATGATATGGCCAACCAGGGTCGAGACAACGGCAACAGGCTATACAGTTCGTCAGTTTCCGACTAGAAAAAACATATCACGCCTGGATATACATACACCAATAGCGATATCCTTGGAAGTAGCAAAGAGCCAGTAGAGCAAGGGACCCATGAAGGAGGAATACAGGCCAAACTGTACAGGAAGCTGAGCGAGTTTAGCATAGGCCATACCCTGAGGAACGACGACGACACCGACAGTCAAGCCTATGGTCGTTTATTAGTGATGCATAGACATTGATAGGGGTCCTTATTGAGCACTTACCGGCAACAAGATCACCGACCAACCATTGGAGGTTATATCTGCTGATCCAGTTAAGGAACGGAAACAGACTGGTCAGGTACCTGACCACATCCTCGCCGCTGGGGGTGAGCTCGCGGAAGTACTCCATCGTCGTCGGGTCCTGGTCGAAGTACATCTCTGCCGACTGCACAGAGAAGGTCGACTCTCCACGGGTCACGGGGTCAGTGGGAGCAGGGTATTCGTCCTTGAGGCCCAGGACCTTCTTGAGGCCGGCACCCAACTTCTGCATCTTCGTCTGGTACTCGGGAGACTCGGAAGACGCCATTGTGTGAAGCAACTATTGATCGGTAAAACAAGATGTTATACTAAACAGAAGCTGGACCTGCAGCTAGATGTATTTATCCTGCTACCTCGTTTTCCCCGGAGTGGTTTCTTGAGAGGATAGGAAGAGCCAAAGCGGTTAACGTTCCGGAGGAGAGCGTCTCAATGCAAGGACGATATTGAATGCTCTGGTTTCGTGAGAGGTGAGGAGGTAGAGCTACCGGGCTCAATGACCAACAGGATCTTCTTGGAAAGGCGAGAGGTCTAGCGAGTGCCCATTATCAGTCTGATACAAGATGCTATTCCAACAACTGAAAATGGCCCTGGGGAAGGCAGGCACAGTTCCTCTGGTCGAATCCCTTTTGGAAGGACTACAACCCACCAGCTCGCTAATGAATGAAGAGAAGAGGAGGTGTGAGAATGGAAAAGGAGAAAGAAAGGGGGGGGAGAAGGGAGCCTAGAGGAGGATCGAGACAGTGGAGGACTGGACCATATTTATGAACTTCCTGCTACGGCCTTTCGACCTGAGAGGTGAATTTAAGTTATAGATCGATGAGAACGAGGTTTTCCTGGCGGAGCATGTACCTCCTGCGACTGGCGGGAAGTCACGCAATCAATGGGAAACGGGCCAGACAGGACAGTGCAAGGGAGTGGAGAACCATGGGCCACGGAAACCCAGGGAGACAGTCCACAGTTTCCGCCTTTGACCGTACAGCGAAACATGGTCGAAGGCTTCCAGGCGAGGGCGTCAGGGAGAAGAAAGTGTCGCCGCAGCCATCAGGATGGTGGATCACACAGCTGCACCTGTTGTTTCCCTCAAACTGCAAAAATAGGAAGAATGAGACTAAGTGGAGGAGGGGGGGTCACTAAGCATCTGCAAAAATCTATTACTAGTACATGCCGTCCTAGGCCGGAGGGATAGGCAACAAGCTTAATTTCCAGCCATAACCGCTACAAGGATGGATGGATACAGGGAGACTGTCTCTTACCAAAAGGGACTGGAGCAGTCGCAGGGTGGTGAAGCTGAAGAAAGAAGAAAATAAAAATGGAAAGCAGAGGCAGCAAAAAAGCAAAAATCTGAACACGAAGGTAGTTTGCCTGTCCTTCCAACGGTTCTGGGGGTGAGAAATCGATGCCTGGAGAGTCTGGAGGCTGATCGCAACCAAGCATTTTCATAACGTTCGATGTTCCCCCTAAAAAGAGCTTGATATCGCCCAGATATAGGCGCCGAGTGGGCAGTTCGTCTCGTCGACGCCCACAGGGCAGTGAGAGCTAAGAAATGCTACTCGATATCAAGCCTCTGGTCGATATCTTGTTCAAACGAAGACTATCAGCCAGTGTTGTACGCCAAGGAAGGTTAAGTCAACGCAGCTTATAGGATGAACTCAAGCTCTCCCAAGGCGCCAGAGGATGGCATCATACCGGATTCGACAAGCTTCTTTTGCTGTTCTACGTGTGGCAGGGCCTGCGAGCCTCTTTTCCCTTCCTTCTCCAACCCCCGTGTATCCAAAGTATATATATATACGGCCTGTTTTGAGTCAAGCAAGGCCCGAGAGGCGAATCTCTCCCGTGGCCCCGATCCAGTCAGTCAGTCCTCTTCCAAGGGGAGGAGACCAGTGATGCTGGTGAGGGATCCACAAAATACGATGAGGATAACTATACGATCAGACCTCCCAGTGGTATGGGCGGTCTGCAGAAATGGAGAGAGAAAGATGCCAAAGAAGAAAGGGCAAAAGAAAAGAAACATCTCAGGCGAGAGGGATGGGGTTTGACAGCCACTTTCCCCGACCCCGTACGAGCTCATCCGCCAGCTATTACGACATCGTACAGATGATGCGTGAGGTCGCTAACCTTCGTGCTGGTCACGTAGCAACGGGGGTGTCTGGATGGATGGATGGATGGATACTCCGTCCATGGACAGCAGATATAATACTACTGGCTTCGCTCAGCTCAGAGAAACTTGTCGAGAATTTCCTGATACACATGACTAATTTTCAGCTCCCCGGAGAAAGTATGCGGACAACTTACTTACTGCTACAGTGCGGTTCGACAAATATAGCGATGTTTCGCAACCTTGTGGCAACCTCGTGTATGGGATGGGCTGAAATGATACTCCAAGACAACAACAACAACTCAGACAGGGCAGATCTCAACAGGGGGTTTCGAGATAAGAATTTGCAGGGCTTAGAAAGGAGTCCTTGGCGCGGTTATGGGGGGGACTGCTCCGTATTCCTATTTTTTCCCTCTCGGGGTTCCATATTGCTTTTTGCTTTTATGCAGACAAGAGATAACTAACTATACATAATATATGGAGAATCCTGGAGCAAGCAGGGGTCTTGCAACGAGGCTAATGCGCTAAGCTGTCTGGCTGCCGTACTAGCGGTTAGAAAGGTTGCAAGAAAAAGGCCAGGGAGAGGCAGATCAGGGTCGACCCGGCCGTTTCACGATACGCCAACATTTCCCTTCCCTTGCGGACCGAAACACCACCATCACGTTGCACTTTACAGGGTATATACGGCCACATCGGCCAGCAGTCGGCATCAACGAGCGGGTTATCATGTGACCTGGATTCCCTGGAGACCGAGGATGGAGAGAGGAGGAAGAGGAAGAAGAAGAAGAAGAAAAGACGACAACGAAGCGAGCAAACGGAGCTGGCGGGCTGCAGAACCTGGCTTTAGTTATCGCCCTGGTCGCCTTTCTCGCCAAAAAAAAAAGGAGGCGTTTGTGCTTTAACTTGCTGTGTCAACATTCTTGTCGTCTCTCTGCTGACACCCACACCAATCGAGAATCAAGCGGCGCCGCCGCCACAGTCTCACACGACGAAGCTGCTGCTTAAAGCTACACAGTCAAAGGGAGTGAGTGCCTCTCCGGTTCTGCGCAGGCCTAAGCCTGGGCTGGCAGTCGGCAGTTGGCATGTTGGGCAGGAGAAAGGCATCCTGCTCGGTCACCAGGCCGCGTTTTGCGCTGTCTGGAATTAATTGCCAGAGTTGCCATTACTTAACTCACGAAAAGTTGTCTGATCGGGGTTCCCTGTCTGATCAGCTCGGCGGTCATTGACTGACCATAGCTTGACTGGTCATCCTCTGGCCCGGACAGTTCGTTCGCTCGTTATTGAAAGGGAACGGTTCCATCCAAATATTATTCAGCCAACATATATTTTGCACGGCTGATGGCCGAGATAAGAGGAACAAGAAACGTGATCTCCACAACACGAACCCCTACCCCGGCGTTTGGTACTCTTTCGCCCATGGCAGACAGGGATTTTCTACAAGGGAGGTTCTGTCACAAATGCCGTATCGTATCTTCCCGTTTTGAAACAACTGCCGACATATCTGTACAGAGTGACATGCTGTCAACACCGCCCTCGTTCGACTCAAAAAAACACGAAAGAATACTCAACACGAGTAACTACCTTGGCAACACTCAGGGATCAAAGACAAGATTTTTTTGGATAGATGGAATTGTCCACCCCTGGCCCCTTGACCGGTTATCATCGACGCCCAGGATTGATTGAAAGCATAAAATGCTTGAATTCCCTCCTGTACAACAAGGAAATGCAGCATTCAGGCCCGAATATTGATGCACTGCGCAACGGTGTCGCACTCAAGGCCGTCCGATAGTGGCCGCCTACGGAGTACTGAGAACGGTATAACCGGGTTGCCGGTTGGGGGGGGGGGGGGGGGGGGGGGGGGTCATAGAAATCATCTTGTTGGCCAGCGTCCTTGAAGAAGATCTGGTTCAGTCATGGTTCATCATCGGTTCATCGCTCTCCCATCAGCGGAACGTGAATCTCACCCTCCTTTTCTCCACATCATCAGCCCTTCAAATGCCTGTCTGGAACGTAGGCTCATGGAGAACCCTTCATCAAGAGAAGATCCCTCTTCCTCTTCTTGGGTGATATTCAGATATCGGGACCCATTTCACATTTTTTTCACCAGGAGTCATCGGATAGAACGGAGTAACTAGGTTGTTTGACAATTCGTCTCTCGGGAAAATACAGCTGCGGCTACAACATGACTTGGAATCAATTCTTGGATCAAAGGCACCCATGGCCATCTCGGCACTCTATAGTCGTGCATTGATGCACACTTCTGCTGTATCGTGATTCATATGGTCCCACCAAATATCTTCGTATCGCCATGCGACATCGCTATCCCAGTATTGATTGCTAAACCAAGCCCTGGCTTGCCACTCACAGGGTCTTGAGGCGTCCTCCAGATTCCTAAGAAAGTGATCCCCAAGTACGGAGTACCAAGCCCGAAATCTATAGACCAAAGGGTGTACGTGCTATAGAGGGGGCGGGGGCACAGGATAAGGCATGGTGAACCCCTATATCAGGTTGCCACTGCCTAAATATCTGCTGGTGCCTGCTCGACAGTGTCACAGAAGATGGAAACTACCCTGGCCGCATGGAGTCAGAATAGGCTCATGCGGATAACAACGCCGTGATTCAGAATAATCCTGCGTAACTGACATGCAGCAGTCGAACTCGCCGGACGATAATAGGGAAAGAAGCTATCGATAAATGTTCCGGAACAGTGAACTGAGGCGGTGATCACTCGACAGCAGATAATATAATCAATAATGGACCAAGGAGTCGGTTGAAACGAGATGTAAAACGCTGCGGTGGGAATGGTTCGAACACTCGTATAATCCGGGCCACGGTCGTCCCGAATACGTCTTGCAACCCTGGCGCCAGTTTAATACTCTGCACGAGAAAAATAGTCTATGTTTGGGCCAACCAGCCCTAATCGAAATCTATCTTTACACCTTAAATCGTGACCATAGGAGCGACATTGCAGCAACGATAAAAGGGGGCCGACAAGTGGTACGAAACAATGTTCTAGACAACCAAAAATGCATCCAGTAGCGCTGTAACACCGCCGCAATGCAATACCTCGACATCAAAGGGAAATTGACTAATTTTATTCGACCTTGCAGCTATAATGTCCGGCAAATATCTGGTCTCGCCAGACACCCGATTCCTCTCTCAACGTGCGATGATAACTTGTTCTAGAATTTTGCACACCGGAAGCTCTCTTTGCTTTTTCTCTTCTAATATGGATACTCCGTCGCAAGCAGAGCCAGTCTGACAAGGCACGATCTGCGCCCGGCCAAGCGAATGTCTTTCTGACACAGGTGGACCAGATCCCATGAGTGGGCTTCGTCCAGCTATATATGTATTAGCCTAACTTAATAATATCTCCCATGCAACGCTGATATTATTATTACTTGAGTATATCAGGCCCGATGGCCCTGATATGCCTGGAACACGGAGAGACTATTCTAGGATACATGGGCTGAGACCGAGGCCTGGACGGACAACTGGATGAGACGGGAGGAAGCGGATGCGAACACGTCCTGTTCGCTCATCCTCCTGTGCTGCGCTTGACTGTAAAGCAAGTCATCATAGCCTCGCATCACACCAGTCTTGAAGAAGAAGAATAACCTGCTTGTATGCGCGATGAATGTTGCACTGAGGGCTGCAATCTGTTGTCTCAGCCTAATATGGCATGCTTTTTCCCTGGCCCCCCCTGGATATCTCATATCTCACCAACATCACATTTATGATTGTTTCTCTGTCATATTGAGCAAACAATTTCCTGCATTTCGCCCTGGCCCCGTGCAATTTACTAGCCGTCTAGACAGCTAAACTTCTTCGTCTGCTGATTACTCGCTAAATGGCTTAACAGTTTAACAGGCTATCATTCATCCACCGAGCGCCTCTACTCAATAAAACACTGCATACAGTGGTGTGGGAAAAAAAAAAAAAAAAAAAAAAAAAAAAAAAAAAAACCGAAATTCCTGGCGACAGTCATGAAGTGTTCGCTTGATAGTGCAATATTTACTCGTGAATTTTCCGAGAATGAATGAGGCATCAAAAGCATCGATCTGGTCCTCGTATTACACATTTTTGCATTATTTACTTTTTCTGCTTTCGGTTGTTGCCTCGAAGATTGGACGTTAGAAGTCCTTTTTTTCAAGAAGGATGTTGTGCTGGACGTGCAGCTTGTGCGCTTGCATGTAAACAGAAGGTCGATGCAATATTCCGGCTTACGTTGAGGCCATATTTGCAATGGCAATGTGAACAGATCACAGAAGAAAAAAAGGAGGTGCCGCTATGTGCCCTGCTCTATAACAAAACAAAAAAAAATATCGGTGAACTGATATTCGCTGTGCAGCATATTTGTTGTGTGTTTGGATGGTTTGCGCTTCGCCCGAGCAGTCGATCTCCTTGCAGTCTTCCAACGCCCGCAGAGGTCGGGCCTATCGTATTGATAAACGAGCAATGCGTGCCACCCGCCCATGCCTACCATAGCCCTTTCCGGGCAGATCTCCTTACTTACGACAGCAAAGCCGCCGACCGCCATATCCTTCTCTGCTGTTTAGTGGCGGGTTGCCCGGAAAGAGCAGCATCGACTATCCCCGGGGTGGCTGCGGAACTCCTGCTCCTCGGGGCATTTTGCGTCCTCCGGCCGTCATTATCATTATTATTCCCCAAGCCCTGCTTGCTCTCTCCCCGGAGTTAAGACAACTTCCATCGTCCACGATATGATCGCCGGCTCGCTGTGGAAGCCCAAGCAACTGCCACGGGCAAACCTAAATCTGCCGAAAACTCTATTGCTCTGCCGGTACTGTTAAGGTACGGGAATAGTTACGAGAGTATTAACCAGGCGGCCGCGCTGAGATATGGAAAAGACGTACGTAATGAGCTCTTGTTCCTTCAGACAGGGGGGTGCGGCTGACCCCCCTGACAGCAACGATAGCAACG